TGGAAATATGTGCCTCTAACTACATGTTTGCAAAACTCCAAAAATGTACCTGTGCATACATTTCACTGCAGTTTACATCTGAAATAAACACTGGAGGAAATAAAACGCCAACAATTTTTATTCCTTGTCACTGAACTTTTGCTTGCAGTGGCAGATCATCAATTATGTAAGAGTTGTTTTTGTGTGATTCCATGCACAATACTGTCGATCTCAAAATGATTTACAATAGCGATTGATTTGTAAATGAATACATTTTGACGTTTACATCACATAACCAGCTCTATATGTATAGCTTTTCTGATGTAGTAAACGTCCTCGCTAGCTCACCTGCTGCACTTGCGATGTGAAGCACCTGTGACACCCAATTCACGAATAAAAGAGCACAAAAAAATTGTACAAGCAAGCTAAAATAATATGGTTTCTTTAGCAAATGCATTTTTTGTCTTAAGTTTGTCTTTGTTAACATTATCAGTTAGGTTGAGTGTAGGTTAGGGCTGCACGATAAATCGCATATGATATTTAACGCGCATCTTATCAGTAAAGCCAGTTCTGTAATCAGCGGTAAATCTCCATCACGTGCGGGCTTTCACATTGAGCAGCATTAACTACACAGAGCCGTTGTTCACTGACGAGCTGCGCAAAACCACGTTCATATTCGCGCGATTTTTTGCGCAGCTCGTCAGTGAACAACGGCTCTGTGTAGTTAATGCTGCTCCATGTGAAAGCCCGCACGTGATGGAGATTTACCGCTGATTACAGAACCAGCTTTCTGACAAGATGCGCATTAAATATCGCATGCGATTTATCGTGCAGCCCTAGTGTTGGTGGAACATTATTTTCGAACGCAATTAAGCTTTTAGTACCATTTACTGAACATTTTACTTTCGAACTGCCACAATACGGACAACAACCAACAAATCACATTCATCTGTTCTGGATACATTTACAGCACTTTTAGTGCCACTCAATGGTCCTTTCACTGTGAATGTTTCGTGAAACGTGCAAGAAGCAAAGTTAAATCATTTTGTAGAAATGTAGCCACAGACATGTATAACGTAGCATAACGTAGAACACACTTGCAACATTTTTTTATAATAATGTATCTTAAAACCATTTTGTTACTAATTTAACAAGGAATGCTACAATATCAACGTTGTCATATATATATATATATATATATATAAACACGTTTGCATCCACTCTCAACCATTAAAATCAAACAGGTTTTTAAAGAAAACCTTTACATATGAAATTAGCAATGACACTTACTTTCAGGCCACAGGTTTGCTGTCTGTCCAACATACTGTAGTTTTTATCTGCAGCATTTTTTTTTTTTTTTAATAACAG